AAAAAAAAAAAAAAAAAAAAAAAAACTATCAAGGACTCCCAGGTGCTTTTGTTAATATGGGTTATATATCTATTTATATTTACTATATTAGAAATTAAAACAGAAAAATTTTAAATATATACTTATTAATATACTTATGCATATCAGTATAAGCCCATTACATGTTAATACAAATTTCATTTTAAAATGAAAAATAGCTAAATTTTCCAAAACAAAAAAGATATGGAAGAATAAATTCATTTCTACAAATCTCTTTAATACCTGGCTCTACAGAAGACAGCTAGATTCCTATATCTGCTTCTGAATTCAGTCAATTGTAATGTCACATGTCATGTAACTTATAGAAAATGCCACCACACTCATGAGTGAATGAGCATGAAAAAGGCAGATAACATCTCTAGTGTTATTATTGAAAAAGACCTGCTGAAATTATTTCAGAGACACCCCCCCCCCAGGAATCCCTAGAGCACATTTTGAGAACTATTAGCTTAGAGCAAGGGCATAGGCTTGAGCTTGTTCCCTTGGTTTGTGTGTTATCTATATTGTGTTTCATGGCCACATCTTAAAACTGTAACTCTTCCACCTAGGCTGGTGCTTTGGTCAGAGCAAATCTATGCTTCAAATAGATGGTTTCAAACTCAGATCCTAATAGTAATAGCCAGTAGTATCCAGAGGAAGTTGGATTATTAAAATTATCAGCATCAACATATTTCTTACTAATAGTATGGTTAATTTGTGTTCCACCAATTCTATTCTTTAAGAATAAGACTCTTTAGAATGGTTTGTAAGGGTTGAGGAGGCTTTTCTCTGTTAAAATTCTAGTTCTTTTAGGTGACCTACAGGTGATTCCACCTGTGGAATCCGTATGAATTCATCGCAGTCCAACCTCAGTTCTGATTTAGTTCTTCTTCATGATTTGGGGACCATCAACAGTATTACTCTTTAAATGCCGTGAAGGCTATGTTAACTAGTTTGATGAAAACATTTCAAATTGTATATCCTGCACATTGTACCTCATGATTGCATTAATGTACACAGCTATGATTTAATTTTTAAAAATAAGCATGTAACTAAGTAAGCAAATAAATAAGTTCAAGGGAAAAAATAGTATTACTCTTTAATGTTAAATTAACCACTAGTTGGTATCTGGTTGATTTTAAATGTTTAAAATGTCCTATTGTTAACTTGCTCTGTAGTTATTGAGTGATCACTTAGTGGTTTCAGGGATTTTGTCCAATATGCTTTTAACAACCTGAGTTTGCAAATAACAAGTTCTAAAATGTGTTTTTTATTTTGCTTTGTTTTCCCCTTTAGGCCTTCTCTGTATTTTTTGTTTGTGTAGCATTCACATCAAATATAATATGTCTGCTGTTCATCCCCATTCAATGGCTGTTCTTTGCTGCTAGCACATATGTATGGGTTCAGTATGTATGGCACACAGGTAAGTCTTCATGATTTCTTAAATAGATTCTTAAATAGATAGGAATCTTAGATTTAAATTTTTAAATGTGATGATTTAGAATAAATGATTTAGAGTTGAGTATAATGTGAACATTTTAAGGTTGCCTTTTCCTAATATAGTCTTAAAATATATTTTATCTTTTAAAAATTATTTGAATACAAAGTTTAACCCTTTATGAATTCATATCACAAGTGTAGGCATTTCAGTTACCAACTTTCACTAGGAAGATAGCCTTTTTTTTTTTTTTTTAAGTGAAGTAAAGCCAGATGTAGTGGGTCATACCTGTAATCCTAGCACTCTAGGAGGCCAAGGCAGGTGGATTGCCAGAGTTCAGGGGATGAGACCAGCCTGAGCAAGAGCACAACCTGTCTCTGCTAAAAATAGAAAATCTAGCTGGGTGTAGTGGGAGGCGCCTAGAGTCCCAACTGCTCAGGAGGCTGAGGCAATAGGATTGCTCAAGCCTAAGGGTTTGAGGTTGCTGTGAGCTGTGACACTATGGCACTCTACCCAGTGACAAAGAATGAGACTTTGTCTCAAAAAAAAAATTGATTTCTATTTAGGTATACTTGAAGAGAGCCTCGTGCCAAATAAGAAATATGTTCAAGGAGTTTCAGCATTGAAAAGACTGTCAGAGGTCATATAGGTGAACCGTTAATTTTGTACAAGAATGCCCCACAGCATCTCTGGCACATGGTGGTTTTACCTCTGAAAACCTATAGTGATAGAGAACCTACCGACTATTTCTGACACCCTATACTTGGGGGCAGCTGTCAAAGGAAGTTCTTCCTCATACTAAGTAAAAATTTTTCTCCTTAGACTTTTAACCCAATATGTCTTAACTTTTTTGGGCTTGCTGATTTCTTAGAGGACATAGAAAAGCTTTGCCCAGAAAAATATATAGGAATGTATAAACTTTTCCTTAAAATTTCAAGGGGCATACAGACCATCCCCTCACACCCAAACCTTGTACCTCTGCATTAGACCTGCACCGAATGAGTGTGGTCTTCTTTCCATGTTAACATTTCCTTTTTTTTCCTTTCCTTTTTTTTGTTTTCTGAGACACAGCCTCACTGTGTTATCCCAGGCTAGAGTGCCATGGCTTCAGCCTCACTCACAGCACTCCCAAGCTCCTGGGCTCAAGCAGTCCTTCTACCTCAGTCTCCTGAGAAAGTGGGGACTACACATGCCCACTACAACACCTGGCTAATTTTTTTTTCTAGTAGAGTCGGAATGTCACTCTTGCTCAGGCTGGTCTTGAACTCTTGAGCTGAAGGGATCCTCCTGCCCTGGCTTCCCAGAGTGCTAGGATTACGAGAGTGAGCCACTATACCTGGCCCATGTTAACATTTCTTTAGAGATTTGAAGACACTGTAATATCCTCTTAAGTCTTCTTTTCTGCAAATATCTTTGGTTTCATCAGTTTTTCCTTATTTGATATTTTAAGCAGTTTCACCATTCTGGTCTCCCTAGTTCTTAGTGGTTCTATGTGCTATTTCATGTGTGTTCTGACTAGTGTATGGCTCCCTTCTGTTACTTCAAACTAAGATCTGATGAGATATTTTGACAGCTCCAGCCCTGGGAAAGCCTGAATGTGGTGTACACTGGGATTTGAGGATTGGCTCTCAGAGTCACACTTGTCTGCAAAGCTGCATGAAACTTAATTCTTGGGCCCAGCTGCAACCTGTAGGATTTTGACCACTGAGGGAACGCCAAATATGATAATAAAAGCTTTCTGGAGCAACATTCATCCTTTTCTCAAAGCTGCTAAGAGGATGATGTTGGCTTGTGTAGAAGACAAGATTGAACTCTGTTTTTTAAAGTGAGCATGGTTTTCTCCATATTTAGCACTCTTTCATATCTAACTTGATTTATAAACTTTCCTCTAATTAAAGTGGTTTTTCTTCACATTCATTTTTCCTTGTCCTGGGCCTCAGTTTTGAGTGAGCTGCCATTTATACTTGTCACTGTCTCTAGATCTCAGTTTCTTCTCTGTCATAGAAAGGTAGAGTTATCTAGAGAATGTCTAAGGGAGCCTTCCAACTCAAATATGCTATAACTCCATGGTGAGGTATGTTGATTTCCCAAATTTCTTCAGTAATGTCTTAGCAATGGTGAAGAAACTAATCATGTAACTATTAATAGAACCTATTGAAAACTAGTTCAGTGGGTGACCCCCAGGACAATAAAGTAGCTAATGTTATAAAATGATTCTGGCTTCTCATAAGCCCTAGGCTCAGAGATGCCTATTGAAATAGGTAAATTTGGAATAACTAGTGCTTAAACAAACAAAACAAAAAGCTGTGTCCTCTTATTGGGCTAACAAATATGAGTGCAATTTATGTACAACTTGAGGCTAATTTTTCTTCCAGTTGTTAAAATTTAAAATTCTTTCTTTCTTTTTCTTTTTGAGACACAGTCTCAGTATGTCGCCCTGGGTAGAGTGCTATGGCATCACAGCTCACAGGAACCTGAAGGTCTTGGGCTTAAGCAATTCTCTTGCCTCAGCCTCCCAAGTACTGCTGGGACTACAGGCACCCGCCACAATGCCTGACTATTGTTTTTTGGTTGCAGTTGTCATTGTTGCTTGGCAGGCCTGGGCTGGATTCAAAGCCGCCAGCTCCAGTGTATGTGGCTGGTACCCTAGCGGCTGAGCTACAGATGCCAAGCCCTTAAAATTCTTTCTTAACAATGTCAGGAATGGTTGATGATATTATATATAGTCACTAAGAATAATCTTGTATCATAAACTTTTCGTCCTTGCTGTTAAGAGGGGAAAAATCCTGGATATAAAAGTGTTTGTATAACATGATCATTATACTTGTTCAAAAATGCTTTCATTGTGATTTTGTTTATTCAATAGATATAGAATGTGGGTATTTTGTCTTAATTTTTCTGTTTTTCTGTAATGTGCTTACTGTATAATAACTATAAATATAGAGAATAGGAAATATAAATTTTTGAAAATTCATTTTGAAATGATTTTGAGAATGCATTTTCCTATGGTTTGCTCTTTTTCTTCCTACCTTGTGAAAATACCTGTTTTTGGTATATTAAATTCATAAGAATGGTTGAGGCCATTAGCTGCCTTTACAGAGCTTTCAACGTCAATTTAACTCAGGGACCAGATCTAAGAGGATTTAGATTCTCCTTAGAAGCTGATTCAATCCTATCTCTGTGAACTTGGACCCAATTTGCTTAAACTCTGAGCTTTACTATTCAGTGAAATGAGTAAGTTAGACTAAATGATCTTTCAAATTTCAGAATTCTGTGGTTTCTCTTTAGTTTCATCTCAAAGATCCTTAGCAAAAAGCCTTTATATCACCAAATTCTTCCCTCTCCCCTCATGCTTATATGGTCCACTTTCACAAATATCCCATTATTAGTCATGTCCTAATACAGACGTACCTAGCCTGCAGATTCTGTTCTAAAAGCCAGTGGAAAAAAATTCCTGTTATTGCATCCTTTTTTCTTTTTTTTTTTTTTTTTTTGAGACAGAGTCTCACTCCGTTGCTCTGGGTAAAGTGCTATGGCATCACAGCTCACAGCAACCTATAACTCTTGGGCTTAAGTGATTCTCTTGCCTCAGCCTCCTGGGTCACTGGGACTACAGGCGCCTACCACAACACCTGGCTATTTTTGTTACAGTTGCCACTGCTGTTTCAGCTGGCTGGGCCCTGCTCATCACCCTTGATATATGGGGCTGGAGCCCTACCTACTGAGCCACAGGTGCCACCCCTGTTTGCATCTTATTTTGTTGCAAATTGCTTTTCCTTTGAAAATTGTGTTTAATTACAAAAGGAATATGAGTTTGTGGTTAAGAAAAAAAAATTTTTTGGCTTGGCGCCTGTGGCTCAAATGGCTAAGGCGCCAGCCACATACACCTAAGGTGGCGGGTTCGAATCCAGCCCGGCCCGCCAAACAATAATGACAGCTGCAACTGAAAAATAGCCGGGCATTGTGGCGGGCTCCTGTGGTCCCAGCTACTTGGGAGGCTGAGGAAGGAAACTTGCTTGCACCCAGGAGTTGGAGGTTGCTGTGAGCTGTGATGCCACAGCACTCTACCCAGGGGGATAGCTTGAGCCTCTGTCTCACTCTTTGTCACCCTGGGTAGAGTGCCGTGGCATGCCATCATAGCTCACAGCAACCTCAAACTTTGTGCTTGAGCAATCCTTTCCCGCTAGCTTTCCAAGTAGCTGGATTATAGGCATGTGCCACTTCGCATGGCTAGTTTGCCTGTTTTTTTGTTTGTTTGTTTGTGTGTGTGTGTGTGTTTTAGTAGAGATGGGGTCTCACTCCTGCTCAGGATGGTCTCAAATTCCTGAGCTAAAGCAATCCAGCAGCCTTGGCCTCCCAGAGTGCTAGGATTATAAGCATGAGCCACTGTCTGGCTTAGCTGAAAGTCTTAATGAAAGTTACTATAGTTGAATCAGTGTTCCAAACCAACCCATCTGCTATATTAGTTAGCTAATGTTATCATTGATGCTTGTCTTTCTGCTGGTTTCTCACAGAAAGAGGAGTGTGTTTGCCTACGGTATCCCTCTGGATACTCTTTGTTTATATTGAAGCAGCCATTAGATTTAAAGATCTCAAAAATTTTCATGTAGACCTTTGTCGTCCATTTGCTGCTCACTGGTAAGTATTATATATATATATTCTTTCATTTTTCTGTATTTTTATTTTATTTAAATAGATTTAGGGGGGACACAATTGGATTTTTGTTACATGGCTAAATTGCATGGTGGAAAAGTCTAGGCTTTCAATAGTATTCTACATATATTCTTAATCTATAATTCATTTCAACCTAGAATGGTAAGTTCAACTATAAATTTATTCTTAGAGATTTTACATGAACCTAGAAAGCAGTACAGCCTGGTAGTAAAGAACATGAGCCCCCTTTTCAGGTAGAAGAGTAACTCCCAGCTCTGTCCCCTAATAGCTATATTGCCTAGGGAGTGTTACCTTGGTTATCTTACCTGTCTCATGAGGTCCTTGGAAAGAGGAAATGAGGTGATAGATGTGAAGTGTTTAACTTAATGCCAAACACCTAGGTATTTGATGAATGTTAGCTACTTTTATTATAATCAAATAATAATTCCAAAAGTCTTGATGAAATATATGGCTATTTCATAAAGCTTAAAAGAACTTAGAATTTCCTTAGCCTATTTATAAAAGTAAGAGAATATTAATAATTTTAAAAGAATATTATTTCTCCCTATGAAATATAAATTAATATTAAAATATTCATTTAACCTTAACCATGAAACATTGTTGAAAATGAGCTTGATTCTTATTTATATCTATTGTGAAACCTAATACCTAATGTAGATTTCTCTTAAACACACCAATTTTTGCTAATATTTATGGCAAAAACTAAAATAAAAAGTGATTAGCTAAAATAAGTATTGTTTCCTGTATTTTAATCTTTTTACAAACAAGTAAATTAAATAAACTTGGTTAATAAAACTTGTCATTTTAAATTTGTATTGAGACTACATCTAAAATAATTATAAGCTGATACGTTTTAGTGTTAATGAAGCTAAATATGGGCTTAACAATGTATGCGGAAGCGTCAAAATGATATTAGGCAAAATGATGAGTTGAATGAAAATCTCTTAACTTTCTAGCTCAGAAATTAGAGTTCCAAGTACAGCTGGTTTAATTTGGTGGTACAAACCAAACGTTGGTAATATCAGATACTTATTTAAGTGATTCTTGAATTTATCTATGACAAAATATTTACAGACTGATTTTCCAGGAATAATAGGTGATAGTACTCCTCAGGCAGCAAGAAAATTAAGTTAAATTTGACTCTGCCTTCTGATACTAAAAACCAAATGAAATCCTTTTGATTTTTAATGCATAAGGCAGATAGATTGATGTTTCTTCAAAGACATTAACCACTGTGTCTGACAGTCACTGTGGTGACTCCTTTAATTAGTTTAAAGGATGCCAAAATCTGATGGGAAGTGTCCTCTTAGGTTCTAGAGCAGCAGTTCTCAACCTGTGGGTCGTGACCCCTTTGGACTGTATTAAAGGTTCGCGGCATTAGGAAGGTTGAGAACCACTGTTCTAAAGGGTTGTTCCCTGTGGGTTTGTTTTATGTGCCAACTGCCTCTGATTTCCACAGCAACATTCCACTTATTTATGTGTTTTCTGAATGCTGTTCTCAACTGCCACCATCAACTAGAATTTATTTTTTAATTCTAAGTCATAAGTATCCTCATTTGCTAAATGCATATGTTGTTTTAAATTTGCAGTTACTGACTGGATTATCTTCTTTTTAGTATTGGATATCCTGTGGTAACTTTGGGCTTTGGCTTCAAAAGTTATGTAAGTTATAAAATGCGGTTAAGGAAGCAAAAAGAAGTGCAAAAAGAGAATGAATTTTATATGCAGCTTCTTCAACAAGCCCTCCCTCCAGAGCAACAGATGCTACAGAAACAAGAAAAAGAGGCTGAGGAAGGTAGGTCTTTACCCTAAAGCTGTTAGCTCAATAGGTTAGTCATTGTTTTGTCTCTCAGTAGAATTTTTTTTTTTTTGAAAAATAGCTAGAAGTTGGCTCAGCGCCTATAGCTCAGCGGTTAGGGCACAGGCCACATACACCAGAGCTAGCAGGCTTGAACCCAGCCTCGGCCTGCTAAACAACAATGGCAACTACAACAAAAAAAGTAGCCGGGCGTTGGAGTGGCTACCTGTAGTCCCAGCTACTTGGGAGGCTGAGGCAAGAGAATGACTTGAGCCCAAGAGTTTGAAGTTGCTGTGAGCTGTGATGTGATGGAACTCTACCAAGAGTAACATAGTGGGACTCTGTCTCAAAAAAAAAAATTTTTTTTTTAACAAAGAGAGAAAAATAGCTAGAATTTTAGATTTTTCTGCTTTTTGGTGTTTCTCCTCAGGGCCATTGTTTTGCTAAGCCACGAAATACAGGATGAAATACAGAATGTGGATGTTTACTTACTCTCTGAAGAATATGTGCTTTTAAATATGTTTAATTTGTTTTATGAAAGTAAAAACAGAAAGCTATAACCTAATTATAGCCCAAGAATATGGGGAAAGGGGAAAGGTAGGGGAGGGGAGGGGGAAGGATGGGTGGAGGGAGGGTAATTAGTGGGACCACACCTATGGTGCATCTTACAAGGGTACATGTGAAACTTACTAAATGTAGAATATAAATGTCTTAACACAATAACTAAGAAAATACCATGAAGGCTATGTTAACCAGTTTGATGAAAATATTTCAAATTATATATAAAATCAGCACATTATATAAAAAAAAGAAAACTATTTTAAATATTTATTTTATTTTTAAATGTTTTATATCTTATTTTATATTTTAATATTTTCATTGTTCTAAATATTCTCAGCAATATAGTAGTATGTAACTATGTGAATTTGTAATTGAATCAAGCCAAGAACGAAGGTATAAGCAAGAAAGAGATGTGGAATGTAGAGTTGAGTTTATAAATTTAAAGTCTTCTGAATAGAGCAAAGATATCATAATCTAAATGGTTCATATAATGTGTAATGTGGATTATAAATCCAGCTATTTCTAGTAGGACCTCTCTCATGGGCATTTAACCAATAGGAAAAGATAAATTGACATTAATACCAGTTTTCTTTGGTTTGGGAGTTGAAAATATGAGGTCATGTTTTTAATCAGTGTTTCTCAACCTTTTTTTATCTCATGGCACACTTGAACCTATAGTTAAACTTCTATGGCATGCTTAAATTATGTTAGTAAAAAAAAAAAAAGTAAAAAAATATATACTTACTGTGCTTTGAACTTCCTTCAAAAATAATTTAATTAATGAGCTTTAAGATTTTTCATGGCACACCAGTTGAAAGATCACTATTTTTAGTTAATGTGTGTCAAAATATTTTTCTCTGATGCAGTTAAGAAATATCTCTTCTTGTAGACTTTAACAAATTGTATGTGTAGACCTGATACAGAAAATTACGAGCAGTCTGGTAAATGAAACAGGCTATCTTAGCACATTAGAATCAAGAAAAAGGATATCCAAAAATTATTCTTTTTCTTTTGTTTCCTTAAACCTCTTTCTTTTCAGTAGGATTAGCAGTTTGCTTACTCCATCTTTTGAAATATGGCAGCATCTGGGAATCTGCCTTTGTCTTCTTACCCCTGTGATAGACAAGTTTGATTTGACTGATATATGAAGTATGACTTACTTATAAAATCCTGATCTTATTTTTAAGGCCAAACCTTCAATGGCTTGATGTTCATAAATGATGGTGATTTTCTAATATGCAGCCTTCCAAATGTATTTGAATTTTTTTCTTGAAGTTAGCCTAATGTGCGGTGGTTATTGCTTCTAAATGAGTTTGCAAATTACTAATGTAGTGAATTTCTAAGTGTAGATGGTAATTTGTTGAATTAATCTATTCTGTTTTTTAAAAACTAAATATTTGGTGTGGTTTTTTTGTTTGTTGGCTTGGTTTTGGTATTGTAGCAGCCAAAGGATTACCTGATATGGATTCTGCGATCCTTATACACCACAATGGAGGTATCCCAGCCAACAAAAAACTCTCTACAACTTTGCCAGAGATAGAATACCGAGAAAAAGGGAAAGAAAAGGACAAAGATGCCAAAAAACACAACCTTGGAATAAATAACAACAATATTCTACAACCTGTAGACTCTAAAATACAAGAAATTGAGTATATGGAAAACCATATCAATAGTAAAAGATTAAATAATGATCTTGTGGGAAGTACAGAAAATCTCTTGAAAGAGGACTCATGCACTGCTTCCTCAAAAAATTACAAAAATGCCAGTGGAGTTGTGAACTCCTCACCTCGAAGTCACAGCGCCACAAATGGGAGCATTCCTTCTTCATCTAGTAAAAACGAGAAGAAGCAGAAGTGCACTAGCAAGAGCCCAAGTGCACACAAGGACTTAATGGAAAACTGTATTCCTAATAACCAGCTAAGCAAACCAGATGCTCTGGTAAGGTAAGTAAGTGTGCATGCTCTGCTCTTACCAACACTTTCCAATAAACTTGTCATGCTCTTGAAAAACAAACACTCCCAATGAGCCTGTAGGAATTGTTTTGATGAGATACTGTGACCAGTGACATTTTGGTGCTTGTTTTATGTGGATTTATTGGCCACCTTATGTTATTGTCTTGAAGCCTTGACGTAAATTCTTTCCAGTGTTCTGAATAAAGGGCGACGGTGATTACTTTCCACATGTGACAAATTTTATGTGCAGATTGATTCTTCTAGTGGTATTAAAAGGCACTTCTTAGTCCTTGTTCTTTTCTGTTTGTATATCCAAAGTTCTTTTGGCATAGACACAAAAAGGAGACTTTGTGCCTGTTCATGCAAATCTCTTTATTTGTCAAACAGATACAGATTGGGGCGGGGGTGTGGTGTTGAGAAAGTTGTCCTTACTACCTTGTGCTTATTTTGTTTTTTTATTTGTTTTTCTATATTTAGAATATCAATTCTTTCTAGATCACTCTGGGAGAGTTAGGTTTGAAAAGTAATCTCTTCCTAAAAATTCCATAGATACATGCAGTGTTAGACATGGATTTTAATTAGAAATGTTCCATTTCTCACTTGTAATTAAAAAGAATAACATTGTTATATTAGATTGACTGGCTCAGCCTAAATTTTGCTGACTTATGTTAGGCAAACACAAATATATTACTTTCACCTCAGATCTTTAATTTGGAAGCTGAGATATGAACTGGAGCTTTGCTTTTTATGTGTAACTAACTCAAGAGGGCAATTGAAACTCCTCCAGTAAGTTATCTTATATTTCTCTTCTGGCTTTCTTAAAGGCAGATAGTTTATTCTAGGAGGGAGAATTTCTGTATTATAAATTGTATGAACTAGATCGTTAATTTGTTTTAATTTTCTGATTGGCAGCTAGATTAAGGGAAATATATTTGGGTTCTACTGCTACAAGCTCTAGAGCAGTGGTTCCCCATCTTCCTAATGCCTTGGCCCTTTCATACAGATCCTGTGGGCAGTTGAGAACCACTGCTCTAAAAGTTTCTTTTACAGCCCCAAGGCTACTTTTGGAAGCGTGCTCTTGCTGTTGCCTGGCTGGCATCCACATCTGTTTATTATGACATTCTGCTCATCGTGCCCTGCAAAGCAAACACTCAGCAGAGAACCCTCCTCCAGATGCCCAGGGGAGAAAGACCAATTAGGTGACCTTCTATTTCAAAAGGAATATCCCACAAATTCACTAAATGCTATAAATAAACATCTACCACAAGCTACTTAACATTCTTTCGCCTACATTTTTTTTCTTTGAGACAGGGTCTCATTTTGTTTCTCAGGCTGGAGTGCAATAATAGCTTACTGCAGCCTCAAACTCCTGGACCCAAGTGATTTTCCTGCCTCAGCTTCTTGAGCAGCTAGGACTACAAGGCATGAGCCACTGCACCCAGCTAATTTTTAAATTTTCTGAGGAAACAAGCTCTCACTATGTTGTTACGCTGGTCTTGAATTCCTGGCCTGAAGTAATTCTCCCACATTGGCCTCCCAAAGCGCTGAGATTGTAGGCTTGAGCCACTATGCTGGCCCTAAACTACTTTAAAAATAGCAGTCAAGCCATTTTCCTCTGTTGGTTGTTGCAGAGAAAGAAGTAAAAGCTAAGTCTTGTGACACCATCCCAGTGGTGATATTGATTAACTCTACTACCTGATCTACTTTTGAAGTGCAAGGACCCAGATGGCCCGTTGTCCAGGAAATTGGGGCTGATGACATGGGTCCATTGTGCCTATACCTGAGAGATATGCCCCTTTCTGGGATCACTAATGTGTACTCTACCTGACTGACAGAGCCCAGGTGTTATTCTGTTTTAGAGAACTACTTGCTATCAAATAAATAAATAGAAAATATTATATTTAAGTAGTTTTGCAAGCTTCCAAGGATTATTTTCAACTTCTAATATACTATAGAAAATAAGGGGATAACCTAAATATCCAAAAATGGGAGAAATTTAGATAAATTATGGCCCATCCATTCCATGGACTTTTTTTTTTTGCAGTTTTTGGCCCAGGCCAAGTTTGAACCCACCACTTCTGGCATATGGGGCCAGCCCCCTACTCTCCTTTGAGCCACAGATGCTGCCCATTCCATGGACTTTTAACACAGACATTACAGAATCCTACTTTTGAGCCATATTAAAAGAGTAAAGCAAAGTACTCATGTCATAATGTTTCATGAAGAAAGAAAGCAATGTAATTAAAAGCAATTTTTTATAATATGCGTAGAAAAGGGATTTAAAAGGAAAAGAACCAAAATGTTAACAATAGTTATTACCCTTTATTAGTATTAGGTATTTGTTTTTTCTTTCTACTTTTGTACATTTTCACATTTTTCTGTGATGAACACTGGAAGGTTAAAAGGAAAGGTACCTGTCTGACACTTTACGTCATTTCTTCTTGCCCTTGTCTTAAAGGGCCAAACATTATATATAATTTTGGCTTTGCAGACCATACAGTCTCTGTGATAGCTACTCTACTCTGCCACTGCAGCATGAAGGTAGCCATTGACATTATACAAATGAATAAGAGTGGCTGTGTTCCAGTAAAATTGATTTTACAAAAACAGGCAGAAGGCCAGGTTTGGCCTGTGTGCTGTTGTTTGCTAACAGCACACCCAAGAACATCCCTGAAGTGGAAGAGTTTGAGAAAAGACCTGCCAGACTGCCTGCCCTTCCACGGGGAAGGGCCATCTCTTCTATTTCCTCTTGTTTAACTTTATATGTTTTGATGAGTATGAATAAATCTATGACTAGTCTAATCCTGACAATGTTGGAGTTGTAGCTAGAGAGTGGGTTTGTTATCTTCAGACAGAGAAGGCTGGAGTCAGTGGTTTCTAAGGCTCCTTCTGATACAGACCTACAAGACTGATGGTGTCCAAGCACCCTTCATTTCTTCAGGCACACCCAGAGCTGTGGATACTTCCTCAGAGATGCTTTAGGGTTAAGATTGAGCCTACCCCACAGTTCCCCGTCCCTAATCTACCCTTTTTTAAGTGTTTAAGAAAATATTGGAAAACCGGTACTATATTAATTAACCAGTAACTCTACTATAATAGTAAATGACAGTAATTATAATACATGGCAGCAGCGTGGTCTGTTTCAACACTGTGGTTGAGAACTGCTGGTTTTGAGGAACCAATTCAGTGACTTTTGAAGGGAAATCTGTTACTCCTGTGTTGCTTTCAAGGAGAATTCTTATAGATCAGTGTGGTAGTGAACCAGATCATATATAGATATGGTTTGAGGGCCCTGTGAAAGGGCAGGCAGTCTGGCAGGTCTTTTCTCAAGCTCCCCTAGCTCAGGGCTGTTCTTGGGTATGTTGTATACTATGGCTTAGGAAACAACAGCACACATAACACACCTGACCTTCTGCTTGTTTTGTAAAATAAATATTTTTGGAACACAGCCACTCTCCTCATTTATATAATGTAATAGGCTACTTCTGTGCTATAGTGGCACAGTGGAGTAGCTCCAGAGAGACCATATGGCCTGCAAAGTCAAAATATGTAGTGTCTGGACCTTTATGGAAAAAGTATACTGACACCCATGGGATAGCAATTGTTTTTTTGTTTGTTTGTTTTGTTTTCTGAGGATCTTTTGCCCTCACTACATTGAGTTCCAGAGGTAAGAAGAAAGGTCTCTTTGTTTTTATATCTTTATATAAAAATAAAGTGTTTAGTGAAAGTTTGTTGAATCAATGAATGACATGAGGGGCAGGAACTGAGTGAATGGAGAAGGCTTTGGTCTATAAGGAAACACAGAAAAAAATGGAGCAGAAGGTGCTGGAAGGATTGCTAATGGTAAAGGAATATAGGGAAAGGCCAGGAACATAGAAATAAGTGTTACCTGTAGGGTCTTTCCTGGAAGAGTTTGAGAACTTGCTGAAACCGGTCCAGAGTCCTCTTGGTTTTAGAAATAGCTGTCTTATGCAATGACCCTGTTTCTGCCAGTTTGATTTCTGAATTCTTTACCTAAGATATTTAAAAACAGACTTATTATGTTGATAGCCAAAAATGTTTTTATATATAATTTGCTTGTCTGTTAAAACATTTTAAAAATGTTTTTAACTCTGATATGGGAAAAATTATGATGAAAACCAGAAAAAAACAATGAGGAAAATCAGTTGTTTTAACTAAGTGCTAGGTTAGAAAAGAATAATGTAAATTAAAATAAGAGTTAAGGTTTTTTTTATCAGTAGTCAATTAAATTTCTTTTTTTTTTGAGACAGTCTCAAGCTGTCGCTCTGGGTAGAGTGCTGTGGCGACACAACTCACAGCAACCTCATACTCTTGAGCTTAAGTGATTCTCTTGCCTCAGCCTCCCAAGTAGCTGGGACTATAGATGCCCACCACAATGCCCAGCTATTTTTTGTTGCACTTGTCATTATTGTTTTAGGTGGCCTGGGCAAACTTGGTGTGTATAGCCAGCGCCCTCCCCACTGAGCTATGGGTACTGCCAATTTAAAAATATTTTGAGTGTGAAAAGCTTATTAAAAATTTGGTCAAAGAAAAGGGGAAAATAATCCTACCATTGTGACACCAATCATGTTAAAATTTTGTTGTATTTTCTCCTCATCAGCTAATTTTATATAGCCGTTGCCATAAGGTTTACATAGTATTTTTAAAATAGATTTTATTTTTGGAACAGTTATATTATAGGTTTACAGAAAAATTGTGTAGAAGATACAGACATTTCCCATATACCTCCTATCTCCACACACGTACAGCCACCCATCCCCTCTTATCAACATTCCCCAGAAGAGTGATACATTTATTACACTGATGAACCTACATTGACACATTATTGTCACTCAAAGTGCATAGTTTACATTAGGATTCACTCTTGATGTTACACAGACCCTGTAGATTCATAATGACATGTGTTCATCATTACGATATCAAATAGAGTAGTTCCACTGCCCTAAAAGGCCTCTGTGCTCGGCCTAGTT